TATATATATATATATATATATATATATATATATATATGTGGGAGTCACTGCTGTACGTCCATACGCGAATGGCCCAGATTGAATATGGGTCATTTTGTGGCCAATCTGACGCTAGTGTTTGAATTTTATTTTATTTTTACAAATCCAAATCACGTAAAATTTTAGGTGTGTTCTTCTCATCAATGCGGACCTAATAAAAATGAAAAAAAAAAATTGACCAAAATCCCCCCCGAAACTTTTTGGGGGTATTTTGTTCAATTTATTTCATGTAATTTTTTTTTTTGATATTTTTCATAGATTCGCCTATTTTTGAGGTATACACGCCTAAATTTCAAGTGATTTGGATTTGTAGAAAAAAAATTAAAATTCAAAGACTATTGGACATCCGTGATCGTCAGATCGGCCCAGATTTAATCTGGGCTGTGGGTGTTTACTGTAGCAGTATGCACCTTGGCGCACAACATCTTTTCCCTATATATATATAAATCGCATTTAAGAATTTCCTTTTTCTTCCCTTTTTTTTTCTATTATAAAATCACTTCGTATTATTTTGAACAAGACCCAAACATTTTCTTTTCAAAAAAATACCCATATGACCCCAATTTTTGTCAAGTCTTTTTTAAATATTTTGAACAAGACCCAAACATTTTCTTTTAAAAAAAATACCCATATGACTCCAATTTTTGTCAATTCTTTTTTAAAATATTCCCAATATATTCAAACCATCCTCTCTAATGCCAAGTATTCGTTTTTTTGAAAATATATAGTTATTGCTACAATGTAAAAGCACTCACAAGTCTAATAAAACTCAAGTAACCAACCATTACTGAGACACTGTTGGCAGGGCAGAAAAATGGTTGTTGAGAGTGACAAATGAGATACTTCTCTTGCACTGTTTGGGTTTTTTTTTATATCGGATTCCACTGTGGCTGTGAGGCTGGGTTCCACTTAAATAGTTGTCTTCTCTCCTTTCTTTTTCTTTTTTATTGTTTTAATTGTGTGTGAATCATTGTTTCCTTGTAGATTCTTTGCAGGTATTCTTTAATGTCTTGGGGTGCCCTTTCTTTCGAGATAAACATGGAACTAAACTCATGACATTAATTCTGACATGGAATTAAACTCATGACATTAATCCTGACAAATTGCTCCGTACCACAGGCTATTTGTTTTATCTATGAGGCGAATAGGTCGCAAGTTGGCTCTCCAACCCGGATGTCTTGACCACTGTATTTTATTTGGAAATATTCCTTGGATTGGTGTCTCAAGCGGCCAACAGTAATATCTATAAGTTAGAGTAAAAAGTATACCTTTCAGTTAGTTCTCGTGAAAAATAAATGATCATTTCAACTTGCCATTTCCCCTGCTATTGTTCAGTTTCAATGTTAAGCATTGACAGCCAGTTTCAGACGGGCTTATTCACTTAATGGAAGAAACTTTGAGGTTGGTGAAAGCATGTTAGTCATTGTTGTCCTCTTATGAAGCAATGTCAGGAATTGGGATGAGTTGTTTTTTTGTTGGAGTATTAAAAGAGCATATGATCCTTGAAAACAAAATATTACTTTTGTGTGAAACCTTGTTCTTTTTTTATCCATATAACCATTTCCTTTTTAAGATTTTCTTGTCCAAAAAAGTCTTCGGCAAAAAGAAAAGAAATTTTTTTTTCGACATGCTCAGGTACATTGCTGAACAGAATATCTATGATTATTATCTTTCCTGGGCACCTGGCTTGTGGCTCCTCACTTCCCATGTGGAGCTTTTTGTAACACTTAGCAAATAGACTGCGATCATTTCACAAAATAATGTTTTTCCTGCGAAGGGACATAAGAACGTTGTTGTTTTCATGCAGAAACCAAATACAGCTACAGTGATAAACAAACAAATCTGTGGTTGTCTGGAACTGAAACCTCATTCTGCTCTGACTACATCCCAATTTGTTGAATTGTCTTTTATTGAGTTTCCTTCACATAACTAAGATGAAACTACCATACAAAACACATGATTTAAAGGTGCATTGAGAGCATAAATTGTATTCCCTTTCCTGCATGGTTTTATCAGAAGGTGTCAAAGGACTATATCAAAGCACAAAAACCGCAACAGATGCCTTTTATTTTTATCTTAGTAATTAGAACTTGGACTGCTATGTCTTAACTCTTCGATTACATGGGAGGTGTCTCACCAATAGCAACCATACTACTACATGCACAACTCTGTGCTGGGAAACTTGTAGTTGACTTCGATGATGGGGAGAATCTCATGTGTCTTGGTCACTTCATATAGTCCATAAGGTTCTATTAAGATCAACTGGATATGCTGCAATCCATAAATGACAAATTTCATCTGGGGATTGATAATTGTTCAGGTTAAGCTTCCAAACCCTTTCTTACTGTTTGGAAACTGCAATTCAATGTGCTTGTTCTTTACCGTAGAGGCTTTTCATGCAGTATGTTATCTGATTGATTTACTGCTTGGATCAGATTTTGTCTTTTGGAATCAATGTAAATACTAGACATTTTAGTTTTTTGTTTTTGATGAAGTGCTGAGATTTATCTGTGTCGTATATTTTTTCTACTTAAAAATTTATGCGAGTTTTCGATGTAGTTTCACATAAGAACATGAGATTAAGTTTCAAGACACAAGCACCTAATGATGTGCTTCCTTTACAGTGTTGCTCGGTATCAAGAAGCAAACCCTGGCGTGTACACAATTGTTACTTTCCCTTTTCTCTTCGCAGTCATGTTTGGGGACTGGGGTCATGGTATCTGCTTACTACTTGCAGCATTAATTCTCGTATTCAAAGAAAAGAAACTTTCAAGTCAGGTAAACTCTTGCCTTTCAAAATAGCTTTTTTTACTGCTTGTGGGTAATTTATGTAAGTAAATTGAATTGCATCTAGAAAGAATTTCCTTGAGACTTTTGTCCACTATTTTAAGCCATTTTATAAGTTTCAGTTTCAGTCATTGTATATCTAATGTGCAACGTTCGAGCTCTTTATCCTACGAGCTGTGCAATTTTAAATTATGTTGTGTGGTTAAATGCTTTCAAAAGTTTCTATTTTCCGATATTAATCTTACAATGCAGTGATTGGACCTTGTCATTGAAGGTGGTCTTATCTTTCAGTCTTACATACACTATCATTTTCCCCTACACTATATCATTTTCCCCTCTAGTTAATGTTCCATACCTCAATCTGTTGTTCAACTGTTTAGTAGTTTCTAGATGATTTAAATGCACATATTACAACCCGCCACCTCTAGCTGTTTTATAATATAGCCATGTAAACAATATTATGATTCTTTATATAGGCTGCCTGATTAGCCCAAGCAGGCTTACCGGCTTATCCCAACATTTTTCAGCCGTATTATTGGTCCATCCATGGTGGGTACACTTCCTATTTCCTCGGCCTCTACCTCAACCTCCCCCTGAATCAAGGCCAATCCTCTATTACCACCACTACGGTTCTTACTGTCACCTCTGCCCATTGTGGAAGTCAAGGCAAATCCATCACTCATACTGGCACTAGATATAGTAACCGTTGAAGATGTGAGTACACATTGTTGAGAGAGGGAAGTTCACTACTAGCTAAGATCTGGGCACAAAGAGCATGATACTCAGAACTAAGGCCAGACAAGAATTTTGCAACACTAAATTCTTCTCTTTGCTTCTTTAGAAGCTCCATGTCATTTGACAGAGGGTGACGCATGTTTAACGCAACCCACGTACCTCGAAGAGTGTTGTAATAGTCACTGAGACTCTTGTCGCCATGTTCTCAAACGAACATGCTCTCATAGAGTTGATAAATTCAAAAAATATTTTCATCAGAAGAGTACATCTCATGTACGGCCTCCCACACTTCCTTGGAAGTATTTAAAAACATGACATTAGCCCTCACATGGGGTTCCATACTAATTCCATAACCAAGTCATAATTTGATAGTTTTCCTTTAATCACTCTTCAAACCCATTATCTGATTCTTTTGGCCCATCTTTAGTCAGAAACTTCGTCTGTCCCTTTGCACCTAGAAATACCTTTATAGACTGGGCTCATAAGAGGTAATTAGGCCTATTTAATTTCTCAGTAATTGCTGTAATTCCTATAATGTCACTAATGGTGGGAATTCCAAGGTTCCTATAATGTCAATACTTTCTTCAGCCATAATGTAAAGATGATAAAACACAAAAAAGTATCTAAAAGTATATCAGGATGAGCACAATTAGGAGCCCTAAAACACTAAATTGAATTTTATAAATTCGCTATATCACAAAAGTAGCAGTTTGCAAGGCAAACTACTGCGCATATAACAATTTTCGATTACTTATGAAGAGAACTTTTCATTTAGGCATCGATGATCCCCAACGGGACTCCTATTGCTTCGCCACACGCTTTGAGACATTTCAGCAGCTTTTCCTCTCGTTTTGCACATCCAAGAGAGGAAACTTCAGCAACATAAACATTCACAGCATGTGCAGGCCATCATATTGGCCCTGCACACAAAAATTATGGAACGTTGCCTAGGTATTGCACCTAGAAATACCTTTAGAGTAGAATATGGATATAAACGCCTATTACTTTGTAAATTATGAAACGTGATTTAATGGGCGTTTCAATGTTATCCAATAACCGTTATTTTGAATAAAAGACCTGTTATTTTCATTTGCATGTGTTTTGTTGCACCTGCTCATCACCCATTTCCAATATAACAGCTGCTCCTTGAACTTCTACTGTTCTGTTTTTTTTAATTTGTTTTGAATAGCTATACAATCCATGGGAACTCATTTGAAAAGAGACAATATAAGGAAGGGATTTACTCTCAATTTCACATCAATTTCACACTTTTTTAGATAAGCCAAACATTGAAATCCTACAATGAGATCCACTTCAATTGATTTTGCATGGGCATATCTTTTATTTTTATTTATTTTTATTTATTTATTTTGGGTGATGTGTGCTTAAGCATGTTTTATACTATATGGATTGGCAAGAACATATTAATTTAGGTTAATGATGGGTGCTTAAGCATGTTTTTGCTTATAGCGACTTCCTTCTTTTGCACATAACTTGCTTCATTTGTGGTCATTCTCTTTCTGATTGTGATTGATGCATCTACTGTGTCACTATATGTTGCTTTAGTTTGTATTCAAAGTCCAATCCCCCACAACAAGGTATGAGCTTATTATGTTTTTGTTGACTAATAGAAACTCGGAGACATATTGGAAATGACATTTGGTGGGCGCTACGTCATCCTGATGATGTCATTGTTCTCTATTTACACTGGGTTGATTTACAATGAGTTCTTCTCAGTCCCTTTCAGTCTCTTTGGACGGTCTGCATATGAATGCCGGGAACCTTCGTGCAGGTGAAGATCGTTGACAAGTTTTTTCATTTTTCTAATTGATTTTCCGTGCTTTATCTACTGCCCCTAGTTTCCTTAGTCATGAATTGAATACCCACTTTCGTACAGTGATGCTTATACGGGAGGGTTAATCAAAGTCCGTGATGCTTATCCATTTGGGGTGGATCCTACGTGGCATGGCAGTCGAACTGAACTACCTTTTCTGAACTCCTTGAAGATGAAGATGTCAATACTTCTTGGTGTGGCCCAAATGAATCTCGGGATTGTGTTGAGTTACTTCAATGCGAGATTCTTTGGAAACTATGTCAATGTATGGTACGTTTAATTCTGGGATGCATATCCTAGATTGTAATTCCTCTCTCTCTCTCACACACACAGAGAGAGTGACACTTGAATTGCTCTTAATTCAGTTGTCTTTTACTGTTCTTTGCAGGTACCAGTTTGTCCCACAGATGATATTCTTGAACAGTCTATTTGGTTATCTCTCTGTATTGGTCATTGTGAAGTGGTGCACGGGTTCAACAGCTGATCTTTATCACATAATGATATACATGTTTTTAAGCCCAACTGATGATCTTGGTGAAAACCAACTGTTCTTTGGCCAGAAAACTCTTCAGGTGAGTTTTGCTTGCACTGTTTTCCACTATGCTTTTAATACCATGACACATGAGATTTACCTAATGCATTTGTTGTCTGGCCTTTACCAGCTTGTGTTGCTATTGCTGGCTCTAGTTTCTGTCCCATGGATGCTGTTCCCAAAGCCATTTATCCTGAAGAAGCAGTATGATGATGTATGTATGATTTGAACTTTGTTTTTTGGAAGGGGGCCGAGGAAACCATAGTCCATTGGGCTACAGCATATTATACTTCAAGAGCTGTGTGCACCATCTGTTCCTACTGATAGATGGATTGAGATTAACTTTTTGCAAGAGAATTTCCCTTTCGCTTTGGATATAGCCTTGTGGAGTATCATATGCAATTGTCCACTGGATTATGGTAATCTATTTCACCTTTTTGTGGATGTTTCCTCAATGATTGCTTAATTTGTGATGCAGAGGCACCGAGGTCACTCGTATGATGTGATTCCCACAACCGACCCTGATTCCTTTGAAATGGAGGCAGGTCATGATTCTCACGGTCATGAGGAGTTCGAGTTTAGTGAAGTATTTGTGCACCAACTAATTCATACCATTGAGTTTGTTCTCGGGGCAGTCTCCAATACTGCTTCATATCTTCGACTTTGGGCTCTCAGGTATGTTTATGCCTTTGTTTGGTGTTCTTTGCTTTTAATTGATTTGATCTCGACTGTGGTTTGATCATGCATTCATACTTTGCAGTCTCGCCCACTCAGAGCTTTCATCTGTGTTCTATGAAAAGGTTCTTATTCTTGCTTGGGGGTGAGTTTACTGTTGCTCAAGGTCCACCCTTCTTGTGTGATAAATTTATTATTGTACTTGGTTGCTACTTTTTGTGAATGCTGTTAACTAGGTGTTACGAATTTTGGTGTGAGGAACACTTCATGCAAATTCACAGCAGAAGGTGCCCCAAACTGGATTTGTTTATTAACAAACTGTGTTTGATGAATGCAGGTACAACAACATTTTCATACTTATCATTGGATTCATTGTGTTTGCTTTTGCAACCATTGGGGTGCTTCTTATCATGGAAACTCTCAGTGCATTCCTACATGCACTCCGGCTTCATTGGGTGGAGTTTCAGAACAAATTTTACGAAGGTGATGGGTACAAATTTTTGCCATTTGCGTTCTCTTTGCTTGGTGAAGAAGACGATTGATGCCCTCTGTCCATACCCTGTGATGCTTTGAGGATGGCTTTGTATGTTGTTGTTGTTGGGTATGTTTATGAAGAGATGAGGTGGTGAGCTATTTAACTTGTTCAGCGTGCAACTTCACATTTGCTCTCATCTCTTCATTTTTCCCATTCTTGTGATAAAAATAACCTTGAGGAATAAATCATGCAATTCTGCGCCGTGTGACGTTATTAGTTGATTATTTGCCGCTGTAATAATAGCAACCATGGAATTTCAAGGGATCGTCATGATCTCCTATGTTCTGTTGGTATCATCATTATGATTTATTTATTTTTTTCTTCACGTAGTAATAGAGTTCTCTCTCTTCTCTGTCTCACATAAATAAATAAATAATAAAATAAAAGAGAAAATTACAAAAAAAAAACACCCAAGGCCACACTATCTATGCAGCTTACTTCCAACCTAACATTTTCTCTCATTTTTTCCTCCAAAATAAACTTTATATGCAAATAGTTCTCAAGGTAAAAAGTTCACTTTTTTTAAGATGGAAATGTCTTTCCGGTACAAAAAATGTCATTTTAGTTAGATTTGATGTTGACTTTTAGACCCAATAGGAGTGTACAAGTGTTCGGTGCAACTATTCGATTATTCATTGCAACCCCCTAGCAACTATCGTACCGTTATATACAAAAATCATTAATATTTTTGTCAGATTTGATGTTGACTTTTGGATCCATTACAAAGATCATTTTGGAAATTTGATGTTGACTTTTGGACCCAGCACCTTGGAGTGCAGTGTTTGCAATTGTCGGGCTATCTTTTGCAATCGCCAGATTGCTTGTTCAGATATGATGTTGACTTTTAGATCTGTTATATACAAAAATCATTTTGGTCATTTGATGTTGACTTTTGGACCTAAGAACTCGGAGCGTAGTCTTTGCAACTGTCAGACTACCATGTCGGACTACCCTTTGTAATTGTCAAATTGCCCTGTACAACAATTGTCGTTGGACTGCCTTTTGCAACTGTCGGACTATCCTTTGCAACTGCCAAATTACCTTGTACAACAAATGATGTTAGACTGCCTTTTGCAACTGTTGACCGCTTTTTGCAATTGCCTTTGTCGTACTTGACCGCTTTTTGCAACTGCCTTTGCCGTACTTGATTGCTTTTTGCAACTGCCAAATTGCCTTGTACAACTGCCGTTGGACTGCCTTTTGCAACAGTTGAACGCTTTTTGCAACTGCCTTTGCCGTACTTGACCGCTTTATGCAACTGCCTTTGTCGTACTTGACCGCTTTTTGCAACTGCCTTTGCCGTATCCTTAGACTGCCCTTTGCGCAACTGTTGGACCGCTTTGATCGCTTTTTGCAACTGGCTTTACAACTGTCGGACTGTCCTTTGCGCAACTTCCGAATCTCTTTTTGCAATTGCCGTACCGCCTTGTGTAACTGTCGCGCCCTTTGTAACTGTCGGACTGCCCTTTGCAACTGTTAGATCGCCCTTTGCAACTGTCATACCCCCACACTGCCCTTTGCAACAGTCTTCCGAACGGCTTTTTGCAAATGCCGGACTGCCCTTTTTCAACTGTCTTCCGAAGTGCTCTTTGCAACTACCAGACCGCCCTTTGTAATTGTCAGACCGCCTTTTGCAACTACCAGATCGCTCTTTGCAACTGCCGTACCGGACCGCCTTTTGTAATTGTCGGACCGCCTTTTGCAACTACCAGATCGCTTTTTGCAACTGCCGTACTGGACTGCCCTTTGTAATTGTCAGACCGCCTTTTGCAACTACCAGATCACCCTTTGCAACTATTGTACCCCGGACTGCCGTTTGCAACTGTTGAACCGCTTTTTGCAACTTTGCCCTTTGCAACTGTCGGACCGCTTTTTGCAACTGCCTTTGCAATTGCCATACTGCCTCGGACCGCCCTTTGTAACTGTCGGACTGCCTGCCCTTTGCGACTGCCAGCCAGACTGCCCATTGCGATTGACGGACAGCCTTTTGCCACTGCCGGACGTCTTTCCAACAGCTGGACTACCCTTTTCAATTTTCAATTGCACTTTACATAGTGCTGAAGCTACCGGAGCACTACTGCCGGACGGCACTTACATTGTGCCGGAGCCCTCTATTTTGGTGGTGGTGGGATTGAGGAGAGAGAGGTGGGGGTAAGGTAAAAGTAATAGAAGGCAGTTCTACAGTGCTCGAGCGTTATTGCATAGCGCACTTATACGATGCCTTTGGTGGTATAGAGGAGTGAGATGTGGGTAAGATAAAAACCGCAACTGTCGAACCACACTTATACGGTGCCTGCCGCAACTACTGGACCGCACTTATACGGTGCATACTGCACCTGCCGGACTGCACTTATACGGTGCCTTTGGTGGGATAGAGGAGAGAGACATCGCACTTATACGGTACCTTTGGTGGGATAGAGGAGACAAACATGAGTAAGGTAAAAGCCGCATGGTGCCAAAGCTCCCTATTTTGGTAGGATAGAGGAAAGCTCCCTATTTTGGTGGGATAGAGGAGAGAGAGTTACTACCAGATCGAATTTTACATAGTACCGAAACGCTACTGCCTAACTGCATTTACAAGGTGCCAAACCCCCTATTTTGGTGGGATTGAGGATTTACATGGTGTCGGATCCCCCTATTTTGGTGGGATTGAGGGGAGAGAAGTGTGGTTAAGATAAAAGTAAAGGAGGATAGCTTTACAGTGGTGAGGTAAAAGCATGGTGCCGGAGCTCTCTTTTTTCCTTTTTTTGGTGGGATAGAGGAGAGAGACATGGGTAAGGTAAAAATAAAGGAGGGTAGTTTAGGCAGGCAACCAGCGGACCGAATGTCGTGCTACTGCCAGACCAGTGCCGGAGCTCTCTATTTTGGTGAGATAGAGGAGAGAGGATTGGGTAAGGTAAAAGTAAGAGAGGGTAGTTTAGGTAAAAAAAATTTGGTTGAGGGGTTTGCATAAAAAGTATATTTTGGGAAAGAAAACAAAATAAAAGGTTAGGTTGGGAGAAGTTGCAAAGAAAGTGTAGTTTTTGGGGTTTTTTATAATTTTCTCTAAATAAAAAGCAACTTGACTAACCAAAGAAAGAAAATTTTCATTTGCATGAGAGTTCTAGGAATATCGTTCACCATTTCCTACCATGTGGTACAGTCGCATATTCAAGTGCCCTAAAGCTCACCAGCAGTCTTGTTTGATTACACCAATTAAAAGAGCTAATTAAAGTAAAAAAAAAATCATCATCTTTAACGCAATATCGTACATAAACTAAGATTACCACTGATTAATGAAATTGACACTGAACAGGTGGATCTTGATTATGAAAGTATTATAGGGAAAGGAATGGAGGTGGTAACAAATTTATCTGGACATGTATACGACTTCTTTGATATGAAACATTGGGGTTGTATTATCTAGTGTCATATAGGATGACTATATTCTTCAGGATTATAGCACCCCACCGGTGGTTTTCGCTGTAATCTTATATGTGCTGATGAATACTATGACTTATTTTAAACGAGTCCTTTCGGCTAGCAATTTTCTGGATGGCCCTTAAAAAAACAACAGACGGCCTAAAGCCACTGATTTAAAAATGAAGGTTTACTCAAATATCCCAAGATCCTCCTGCCAAATCGACCCCTTACATTCAGCCCGCCTCCTTTCCCAAAAACATACTACTTTCCAAAAACCGCAAAATAACTATTTGTGGGTGCGGTTTGTATAGAGCCTAGGCTCTAAACAATCAAATTAGCGCCTACCTTCAAAAAGTGCCGAGAAATTTGATTTTAATACTGGCAATCTTTGTGATAGCCTTATTTATTTTCATCTTTATTTATAAAGTTTAAAGCTTAAAAAATGATGCAGATCGATAGATCTATGAAAATCTTGAAAATTGACGGTCAAAAAATATGTTACAAAATACACTATTTCCAAAATTTGAAATCCATTTTTTTGGTATGTCCATACATCTTGATGCCGAGATGATCAATTTGAAGATATTTGGGCATCAAAACAGTCTCTTCTAGTGAAAATTTTGTGATGGGCTCCAATTTGATTGTTAAGAGCCTCGGCTCTATATAAACTTTTCCGGTGGTCTAAATCTTCCAGCCATAAACTAAAGTAAAAAGTTTATATAAGGTTGCAACATAAACTAAAAGAAGAAGTTTATATAAGGTTGCAACCTTAACATGTAGAACTACGGATGCACCTCAAAGATCCATCAGAAAAAGTAGTTTTAATGTTGAAAAACTTAAAATTTTATAATTAGATATAAAAATAGATTTTGAGGTAATCCTAAGTACATTTTACATCAAATTATATACCATGATAAAATTTAAAGGTGCACCTTACCTCTATAGCTAAAGATGCATCCATATGCCAACTGCACCATAAACTAAAAAACCTCTTCTCTTTGTAGTTGATTGGACGTCTCACACTCTAAGAGGATCTGTAGCTTGTTTGTGAGCGCAGCATGTTAGTTACCCCGAGATTCTTAAAGCTCTTAGAGCTGCTTACCCTTAACGCTTAAGGCTCATGCCAGCAAGCATTTTGCGAAAGGCATCTGAAATGCTATCATGTAACATACTCTCATTGTTCTCACCTCACCGCAGGTACCACTATTGCCAATGAATCTATTGACTCCAGCTCTGCAGGCAGCTCCTGAAATTCATGGAAGCATGAATCTGCACCCGGCATCCTTTCAGAGGCAATTGCCTTGCAGGTACTTATGCTCGGCTACATAAGCACTGGCATCCTTCCCACACTAATTTTTCCTCGTACTCTGCTTTCAGCAAATGCAAATTAACTACGCAATCTCCATTTTGTTTCAATTGGGAGATAAGGGGAAGGGTCTTGAGGACCATCCTCAGCTTGTTAACTTCCGGGCTTCTATGCGGCCATGCCCGCATATGTCGACGGTCCACCCCGCATGAAACAATTTTTCATATATAAAATGTATTGATCTCTATTCTCAACTATCTTATTTGAATGGACCGTTGGAATGACTTCAAGCATCATATCTTGAATTAGTTTCTATATTTTTGGTTTATTTTAAATTTTATTTTATAAATTATTATACAGTAAATTTGAGGTATACATCCATCTCATGGGAACACCTGATAAAAAAAAGAATTGTGCATCTGGTGGTTCAAGGAAATATGAATACTTCAAGAAAGTTGGTCGATGGCTGTGAGTACAAATGTAGGTACGTACCTTAGTGCTTCGACTTTCTTTAAGGGGAAAACTTTGAAACTTATGTGGGAGAAATAGTTTATATAAGGTTATTTTATACT